TCAACTGGTGTCAGCAAATCCGGACCCTCCTCGGGCTCCTCCTCTTCCTCCTCCTCGCCCTCCTCTGCCATCTCCTCCTCGTCCTCCGGTTCGGCCTCCTCACCCTCCTCTTCCGCCATCAGAGCCTTGTAGGCCTTGGCTGCCTTCTTTGTGCTGATCCAGTTGATCCGACCAATGCCGTAGAGGTAGGGTCTGTGGTGAACCCAGTTGGCCAGGTCGAGCAGTTCAGTGAATTCCAGTGGCTCATATTCCTCCGCCAGTAGCAGGGATTCTGGTTTTTCCTAAAACATCAGTGCGTTTACAGAACGGAGTAAGTACAGTAGGTGACGTGCTTCATGCAAACTCATGATGGACATTTGGACTTGATACTTTAGCATATATTTGGTGTTGTTATTTTCATCTGATGAGTGAATTGTGATTCTGGGATAGCCTTTTAATCAAGAAAACTACCTGCTAATTCTGGATTTTGGTCTGAAAGTAATTAGCTATGGTGAAGTATGCTTCAATATAAAGAGTAATAGAAGCTATTTCATTTCCAGCCAAAAATGATATCATTTGTTTTCAGGTAAATGAAAAAGCGGGTCAAAAGTCTCCATTGGCACTTTGAAATTATGTTGAAAAAGGTAACTTGAACTGATATTCGTCAGCTGAATATCTAGTTAAGGTACTTTTTATAAGGTAGTCTTTTATAGGAATTCTTTTAATTCATCTTAGGCGTAACACTATCAGCTCCCTGTTATGGACGTTCTTTTTGCTCGATAATGAGTTTTTGACTTCATCTTTTAGTTTGGTAATTTTAAGGCATATTATTTTGAAGGTTTTGATATAAAAGTTGGATGGCATCTAGTTTTATGTGAGAAAGCTTGAAAACACTGAAAATCGTCAACAATTGGCCGGAAATTAAAGGACGAGCTGAAACTAACTGTAATCCAATAGCTGAAATATGTATTCAGACATTTGGCGAAAGAACAGTTTTTTAAATATAAACAAAGCCGTATAGTTATGATTTCATCTTACGACTATATCTTCATTGAGTAATGTAATTAGTATTTTTATACTTATTTTAAGTTGTTAATTCGCCCAAGGTTGGTCACTATTATTTAAAATTTTCACATATCCATAAGTACCGGTTAGCCAACGATTATCAATCTTCCGGAAAATTCGGCATTATGCGTGAATTTCAGCCCTCACTGTAAGTCAAGACGGTAGTGAGAGCAGTTATCGAACACGACAGAAACTCACTCCCTCTTCCACTTCGTCTTCCTCGTCCACCTCGTAGACACCGGCCGGCGAAACAGTACAGGCTGAACTGATGCG